CCCCAAAACCCCAAAACCCCAAAACCCCAAAACCCCAATTTCAATTGTTTTTATTGAAAATAGTTATGCTGCTATCTCCATATCTTCAAATTCCTTTTCATAGTGATATGGTCTGTTGAATAGTTCTTCAGATATCTGGAAGATGTTGATTGACTTGTTTCCATCAACTGTCGCAAGGGTTCTCTGATCATAAGGACTCCAAGAGATATCATCAACATTGAGATCATGCCCATCGTGAGTCATAACAAGACAAGGAGAGAGAGTAGACTCTTCATCAGCATTGTGAGCAACCTCTTCTCCAATTTTGAGAATGTCCCAAATAATTACTCCGTTGTTGACTCCTGCTGAAGTTTCTTGACCATCAGGGATAAGTGCTCCAGAGCAGAAGATATTTTTCTGGATTGGAGAGAATGTAATGTTTGTTACTGCTCTATCATGTCCATAGAAAGATGAGATTGGATACATTTCGATTAACTTTCTTCTATCCCACAGCCAGATTTCACCGCTATCTTGGCCTCCAGTGAGGATTCAGTTATCATCATAATAACTGAAGGCAACAGCATTCAAGCCATTCTCTGATGCTTTAATTTGCATTGTTGGAGTGCTCAATTCTCTTGAATCCCAAAGAGCTAATGTAGAATCATCACTCACTGAGGCAAAAATATCTGGCTGAGTTAGAAGAACATCAATTCCATTAACTTCCTTCGTATGATTAGTCAAAGTTGAGAGTGCTGTGATAGCTCCTTCTTGGTCTGGAGCTTGATTAATATCCCAAAGCTTCACAGTTGAGTCCATACTTCCTGTCACTAATTTATGAGAAGGTGATCCATCTAAGTTAGGAATCCAATTTAGCCCAAATCCATACTGTCCATGACCCTTTAAAGCTAATGTCATCTTCATCAATTTGAAATCGTAAAGGTTGATGTCTCCTGAGTTTGTAAACGAAGCTACTTTTGTCGAATCTCCAATCATTGCTCTAGCTTTAGAAACATCGCCAGGATGCTCAATAGATGTATGAACTTGAATTTTACTCATCCTTTTCTGTAGCTCTGTTTCATTAGGACCAAACTCAACTCCTTTATCTAATTTAGGTAGGTTGACTGAGCATATCTTAACAGAGTCAGTGGTCATTCCTGTGGCTTGGCTATTTCCTTCCCCTTCGTTATCATCATTTTCAAAATGAGTGCCCATGAGGAAATACTCGGTTGTAAATCTGGAGTCTTCAACACACTCTTCTCTTCTATCTAGCCATTGCACAGTATGGCTGGTTGATTCAAGGGATTTATCAATGACAATCATGTCGTAGAGATGGGGAGCATTTTCTTTGAAGCTGACTTCTACCTCCTCTGTATTTAAATGTGAGATTTTCTAAGAGAAATGCTTACCTTCTTGCTGCTCTTGCTCTAATTCTCTCAGTGTCTGCTCAACTATATCAAGAAGATTAGCCTTTGTTTAGGCTTGAAGACAACAAAGCATATGTGGTAGTTAGTCTTGCTTACCAATAGATGGATCCATTTTCGCGCAAAATTAAATTTCAGTAAATTTTTGATAAACAGGGGTTTTGGGGTTTTGGGGTTTTGGGGTTTTGGGG